AGAACAATTCTATGCATAGTTACAAATTATTCTAAATTCATTACTTGAAATAAATTAATTTTATTGCCGGTGACTGGAATGCTCACACTGGCAGCAATCAAAAAGGCTGAGAATTACTGAGCAAAATTACTGGCCTATTCTGCTTATCATTTCCAGCAGCGAATGGACTAATAATTGGAAACAACTTATTTCAGAACCCACTGAAATATCAATTAAGATAGAGGTCACTCAGTGGAAAAGATACATCAGACCTTGACTGTCTTCTTAGCAACTGCTGGTTTTGAACATCGTTCATGGAAGTCTAATCAATGAGAGGCATTGATTGTAGGTCTAACTATAATCTTTTATGTACAGTACTACAACTGAAATGAACTGCTCCTAATGCAGCCACTCCCAAACTCTAGGAACAAGTGAAACTACAAGATCTTATTTCCAAACAATCGTTCCAAATAATGCTCACCAACCAATTTGCATCCCTGAATGTCTGGAACATGTAAGCAACTGAATGCTACAGTTCTCAAAAATAATTAGCAAAAGCACCAAAGAAATGTTTCTATATCGTAACAGTGAATATGAACATGGATGTCAGATGAATACCTAACATGGTAGACAAATAAAACAATGTAAATCCAAAGACATGATACAACATTGACAGCTTAATAAGGAGATCTACACCTTCCTGAAAGCAGTATGGTCTACCTACTGGGATAGCATTGCAAAAGAATTTCAAGGAACTACATGTTTCCATAAATATTGCACTGTTTAGACCAGGGGTGTCAAACACAAGGCCCGCAGGCCGGAACTGGTCCAAGGAGTGCTTATATCCGGCCCATGGGACCAGCCTGGAAATATCAAAGGATTGGCCTGCGATGCCTCTGGTGCCCAAAATGGGCCGTGGGGGGCAGCCTGTTTTCAGCCTCGCCAGTCTCCTACAGCACTCTGCAGAGGCCTCTTTGTGGGCTGTTTTTGGTCAGCAGACTGCTGCTGGAGGCCAGGGAGGCCAAAAATGAGCCACATGGGGGCCTCACAGGGCCTCCGCACGGCTCGCTTTTGCCTTGCAGGATGCTACAGGAATCATCTGTCCTGTCTCCCCACCCTGCTGGCCCTGGACGAGAACTACAATCTGATCCAGCCCTCAAAGAAATGCAAGTTTGACACCCCTGGTTTAGACTATATTAACCCCCACAGATAAATTTCAAGGCATGCATGACAACATCCAAAACACAAATGACACTTTTATATGGTTAGAATTGAATTGCTTGAGTCACTGGCATGAATACTCCCTGTTCTGGAAGAAACCACCACCACTTCTTAACTGTCCAGATGGAATCACTTAAGAATATGAGCTCAGGATTTCTGAAATAAAAGCTGTCACCTATTAATTTAAAAAGTTGGAAAACTGTTGGAGCAGATGAAATCACTATAGAATCACTAAAGATTGGTGGTGATACACTAAATTGTCCACTTATTCCTCCAAATGAACTGACATACTGAGAAAATAAAGGCAATACAAATTCACATTTTCAATAAAGAAGACAATCAGAGGTGCAACAATTACCATGAGGTTACTCTGGTATTAATTACAACTGAGCCATTTAAGAAAGTTATACAACAAAAGCTTCAGAAAAGAAATTGCCTTAGAAAAATAGTTTGGCTTCCGGTCTAGAAGAGGATTCTGTGACCAAATATTTGTATGTATCAGCAATCTGAGGAATGCATTTGGTGTGGAAAGAAATCATTCTGGGTTCATTGACTTTACAACAGCTGACAGCATGCATCAACCAGTGCCATGAAAAGAACTCATAACAGAAAGTATGCTGGCTAAAAACATCTCCTGCAGCAGATATAGGTAATCCTTAGTTAACAATGGTACAGTAATTTGAATCAAGATTTCGATTTGGTAAGTGACGTGGTCATAAACTGCAACATCATGTGACTGCATCACTTAGCGATGGCAATCCCAGCATTCCTTGTTGCCATCATTATACAAGGTCCATAGGTCATTAAGTAAGTCCCAGGCAGGTGCCATCAAACCAACAGCAAGTAAGTTGTGGGCAAGGCAAGGGTGGTGAGGCCGGGGGTGGCTGCTGTGAGTTGGGCAAGATATGTGAGTGCCCCATGAGGCACAGTATGAACACTGCTGGACAGGCTACCAGGTAGAGGTATGAGTGACTTAATGGAGCAACTAGCAATCTTCCCTGCCAGCTTCTCTAATGACTTTGCTTATGTGAGATGTAATTCCAAGATGTGATGACTATGTGGGAGAATAAATTAAACCTAAACAAATGGATTTACTGATTTCAGCAGTTGGATTTCATGATTTGGGTGACAAATATATTCTGTGCTGTCATCTTCATTAAGAAACAAACATGCATTTGCAGCCTGGGATCCTTCTGGATTTAGCAATGATGCTGGCAAAATGATTTTAATGTTGAAGGGAAGCTGTTTATCCACTTTGGCTGATAGCATAGGTATAACTCTATCTGAAGGAGAGAGATGTCATTTCATTTAATGAGGGCACTGTAGGGCATCCTTTGAAGAAACTGCAGTTAGGCCAAGTAGTGAATGGTGTCTCTATGAAAAATTACATATTAATATTCAAACATTATCAGTAGTTGCTGGTTGTCTAATCTGAATGCAATTCAAAGTGCTCAAAATTTCTTCTGAATTACCTATTCCCATATAATCCATTTCTCACTCTCAGGTCTAATAAGTCTTACTATAGAAGCATTTGACTCCAATTCTATTTTTTTCATGATGAGATCTCTTTTAGGGAAGCATGCCACTGATATAGAAAGAAAACTCCTGGTTACACAATTTAGAAAGTTCCTCAATAGTTATGTGGTTGGACTTTGAATGCTAGTTTGGGTTTCATATTTTAATGTTGCTTTTACATATTTTATTATATATTTGTAAGCCACCCAAAGTCATTAATAAAATGAATCACACATAGATCTTTTAAATAATTCATAACCGTAATGTGAATTTTCAGTTTCCAAAAATGGGAATCTAACCCGAGTATCACTATTTAATGGCTCATCCCAAATTTAGTTTTTCAACTTCAAAAACAGTCATTCATCCATCTTGCTGCCAGCTGGCAATATAATTAAGAACAGGTACATTTCTTTAGATAATATGAAAATATGTATGTGAAACTATAGTTAAATGTGACTTTTAATAAATGCTATAATGATATTATAAGTATCCTGCAAAGAAGGGGAAATTCAAGCCTGTTTTCAATGGCTTGGTAATATCTATCAAAAGTAATTCCATAAAAAAGGGATATTACAGACAAGACAAAAATAAAATAGTTATTTTTGGAGTAATAAGGAATATAATAATATTCCTGAAACAAGGAACATTAATGGAGAGAAACCTGCCAAGTCTTGGTGGAAAATATAAATGTTACTTTTTAAAAGAAAATATTTCATAGCACTCTGTTCCTTATTCATTGCTTTTTATTGAAGAATTTAATTTCTATATTCCAATGATTGCAAATTTAAATGTAGCTCAGCATAAGGGCAAAAGACCAGAATAATTTCAAAACAATTTTCTTCTCTTGGCCTGTCTCACACAAAGTACCTAGTCAAATGAAGATAAGGGACATTTATTTATCTCCTTAACATCAAGAAATTTTCTTCAGTAAAATTACCTATTTATTTCCTTCCTAGTGAGATATGGGAAAGAAGATGTTTTTGGGATAACTTTTAAAATACTTCTCCTAATAAAGGTTTAATACAGTCTCTAATGCAACTTTTACCTGTTTTTTTCTTCAGCATACTCATTTAAAATGATGCTGCAAACACTCAACTCTTCTAAATTATTCGTGTAAAATAGTTATAAGGCAATGTTAGATAGTAAGGGCTCTGTATTTAATATGCTGACTAAAGGTTTTGTGTTGTTTTGCACTAAAATGCTAGCAACAATTCTATTTCCCTGTTCTTTAGAGAGGAAGCAAACTAAGGCGGGGTGGGGGTGGTCTTGGTGCTCTCTGAGCTTGGTTGTTTTCTTGCAGATGTTTCATTACCCAAACTAGGCAACATCATCAGTGCTAATCAAGGGTAAAGCAAAATTTTGGAACAGATTCTTTCCTTTGATATCTTTATCTGAAGAATGTTTTTCCCCTACATTGTCTTCCCCAGAGAGCTTTTAATTCTCACAAATTCAATTATTTTGCTATGGATGTTACTCATGTATACTACCTAAATCTCCATCTGAACTATCACAACTGTTCTTCCTACATGCACACACACTTTTTACAGTTCTTCCTAAAGCCTGCTCTGGTAACTTAAAAAAAAGGTCATTTACTTTTCCTTCCTTTTTGCTGCATGGAGATAGACTGCAGCTAATTCTGTCAACCATCAAACTGGATTATGCCAGATGTACTGTTGCTAGCAAAGATGAGATCTGCCTAAAATCTGCTATTGCAGAGGAAAATACTGCACAGGCTTTGGGACGCATTTTGCTTTCATTTGCATATCAAACTAGGCTAACTGTTCCCTATCAAAAGAGCCTGAGTTCTGATCTTTTCATTACCAAGTATCATTCATAAAGGGGAAAACCTGAACAACCATCTTGTTTTTCATCCTTCCCAGAAGTCTTCATTCATTACTAAACAACTAAGATTGTCAAGGATATCTCAATTCGTAGCAGCCTGTTTAAAGCTCAAAGCAGAGGAAGAACGACATTTCCATATTCATCATTCATTGACATGCAAATATACCTAATGGTTTCAGAATAATTGTTGGGACATAAAAGTGATCTTTCCTTCTTTTGCACTCACTCTCTCACAAGCCTGCCTCCTCCTAATAGGTTTAAGTAACAATGTCCAGCAATTTAAATATTATATAGGTCTTGTAAAATACAACATTCCCTGCAAGATACATATAACATGGTACTTCTGCATTACATGCACAGAGAGCCAAAATCCAACTTTATCCTTTGGCTGTAATGAGTTCCTTTTTGTCAAAGAAAATAAAAGTACAATTTTATGAACTTACTTGAAATGCAAGTCCTTGAAGGTAAAATGAGTCTCTACAATGCCTGTAGTCTTCACTCTGGTTCTCAGCACATCTTGCTGGGTTGGAATATAATCCATTCTGCCTATCCTCTCCAAGTCATTCAGGTAGCTGCAGGAAAAAAAATGTTGGGGGTTAACAAACTATCTTACCTGAAGTTTCCAAGATGTACCAAATTTTATACCAGCAGTAAGCGCTATCATTCGCAGCCAGCATAGCTATTATCTCACACCCTGAGGAAGGCAGCTTTAGAAAAATGAAACCTCAGAAACCCGTTTCTATTGATCAACAAAGATAAAACATATTCAGGGGGGAGGGGAGAGAGAACAGAATAATTATCCTTATTCTGTGTGTCTTAATTTGCAGAGTACCTCATCCTAATCAGTTGTCCCAAAGGTGCTTTTTCGAAAAGGCAACTGGATTTTCTTGGGTTTTTTTTCTTTGAAAACATTTCAGGTCTCATCCAAGAAGCTTTACTTCAGTTCTAACTCCCTAATCTGTCATTTCCATATGAATGGGGACTAGCCTGTTCACTGTGTATAAAAATACCTTGAGTCAAAGATGAAAAACACAAAGGGACAAATGATACAAGGAATGTTAAAGCTTACCATTACAAAGAACCCAGATTTTTTTTAATTGGGACTAATGGATATTTAATTAGAAAATACTCATGGAAGTTTAATTTTGTATATAGTAATGGCAGATTATTACGTGCACAAAGTTGGAAGAGATTTACTTCGTCCCATTCTAGTTTATGGAACTCTTCCTCCCACCCACCCACCTCAAGCCCAGAGGTCTGAATGGTCCCAATGTTGTTTGTTAATATTCTATAAGGCAGCTGAGGCAATTAAGAGGCTCTCTGGCCCCTAACAGTTCTGAATCACAACAGTCATCTATATTTAATTTTGGAGTTTGCTATAGACTACCTAGAATCTTCCAGGATTGGACTATCAGTATTGAAAGAAGAGAGAGGAAAATAGAATCATACATTACCAGCTAAGATATATCACTCTCTCCAAAATCCTTCTAAAATGTTCCTACCTCAAACCTACACAAGAAATCAGTTCTCCGCCTCTCACTTGTAACCTCTGATAGTATTTTTAGAAAGAGACAAAAGCAAGTACAAGAGATGTAATTACTTTAATGCAAGAAAGCTATTACATGTAGTTTGACAAATGTCAACTGATATTCAGGCTACCATTTCGATACAGGTTCCATGTTGAGATAAATTTTAAAAGTTGTTTCTGAATTGTAAAATGGCTACCCTTGTCACTATCATTGCATATGTTATAGTTCAGACTTTGTACTTTATCGTAACAGTAGAGGAAGAAAAAGTCATTAAAGGGGAAGTTCAATTTTGGCAAAACTGAAGTAGTGTTACAACGAAAGATGCTGCTTTTGCACATTGTTATATTTCATTTTTCTGAGCTGTGCAACACTTGGAACTAGTAGCAGGTGCCTAATATTCTTGAGAAATATACTCAGGTCTGCAGTCCACTCACCCACCACCATCATTTTAAGTCAATTATGGCTGCATAATAACATACATTCAATAGAATTTTCTGGAAAGAGGAAAATATTCATCACTATGGCAACAAACCAGGGAAAATGTGCAAATGCAGAAACAATTTACGTCTACGTGCAGTTAAAATCAAAACACTACAGCTCTCCTTCCTAATAACAAAAGGGAAGTCTTTAGGGAGAAGAGAGGGGACAGTTAGTGGAGTGTTTCAGACAGAAAACAGCAGAGTAAGAGGGGAGGGGAGAAATAAACCTCTCTCAAAGAGGGGGGGGAATCCAATTTGCCAGTGTCCATTGTTTCACTTGCAAAGCAGGAGGAAGAAAAACAAGGTAGTCAGCAGATCAGAATCCATATACTTGTTCCTTAAGATTTTATTTTGCTGCTTCATTTTTATATTTCACAGAAATATTGATTGTAATCAATGCATCTATGAAATGTGAAATGCAGCATGAAAATAAGATCAGGGAGCCTTGTCCAACAGGAAAAAAAAATGATTTCTTTAACCAGTGGTGTTTCACTCAAATGGAAATAGGACCATTAAGCCATACATGAGGACCTCTGTGGGCTGCACATTGACTTAGAAAACTACACTTGTTTATGTGTTTCTTTTTTAATACATCAATACATTAAGATAGGAAGCAGATAAAATACATTGTTTCCAATATATAGTTACACACACACACACACACACACACACACACACACACACACACACACCTCTCTATGTATAGCAGTCCTTGACTTACAACTGTGATTGATCCTGGAATTACAGCCATAAGTTGTTGCTGAGGCATCATGTGATTGAGTTTTCTCATAGTTGTTAAGTGAACGCCATGGTTAAAGGAATCAATTTTCCCCAATTGGCATTTTTTTTACCAAAAAAATGGAAGTAAATGCCAGAAACTGACAAAAAAAAACAGTTATGTGACAGCAGGATGTGGCAAACAACCATAAAGATGATAATATAAACTCATTAGTCACTAATAACTACAATCAGCATTCTGTAAGAATTTAAATGCCCATTCTCCCTTCCTCTCCTTCTTTAATATTGTAATGACAGAAAAAGAAAAGAAAAAAAAAGTATTACACAAAGGCATTTAGATCACCACCTCTCCTTCATTTTGCTCTGATGATTCTATTTTAATTAATGAATGTTATGTTTGGAGGGAACCTTTTTGAAATAGGTAGAGAAATTAATTGAACCTGTTTTGGAGAAAGATGCCGCTTCATGTGCTGAAGGATCTGGAATCCAGAGCAGGTTGGCTACCAGTGCAAGGCCGCCTTGCCAAGGATTTAGGATAGTGTTAAAGGTATCATCCATTAAGCTGTCTTTTGCAATTGATTGCTGGTGATTTTGTCAATCCAAAGATGTTCAAGTGAGGCTCCAGATGTTTTGGGATTGGGATTGCATTGAAGGTGCCTAATACTATTGGTACTATCTTCGTTTTCTTTCACTACAGTCATTCTATTTTTATTTGCAGGTCTTTGTATTTTGTGATTTTTTTTTCCAGTTTTGCAATACCATTCCAGTACTGCAATGTTTACTATCAAAACTTTTTTGTCTTTCTTATCAACAATTGTTAAATCTGAGCTGTTATGCTTGTCTGTTTGAATTGTAAAGTCATGGAGCATTTTAGTGTCTTCATTTTCTTCATTTTTTATTACGTTCTCTGTTTTGTTCACCAGTTCTTGCTTGCAGTCATATACTATTTCTTGCAGATATTTCAATGCGCTATCATTGCTACTTTGCTACCAGTTAGCAATTTGAAAATTATTGGTAAGCAGGTAATTTACCTATAGTTGCCCCTTTTCTTGGCTCTTTCATTATCAGGTAGTTTTGCTATATGTTAACCAATTTTAATTTTCACCTCTTTGCAGCATGTAGTTGCAATACATGCTTGGCAAGGAATGGGTATAGACCAATCAGATGTTTCAACCAAAATCCATGCCATCTTCTCCTGGTGCTGTCCAAGTTTTGGTTTTCCTTGCTCTTTTTCCCACCATTTCTGCAGTTGTTACAAATTATTTAGATTCAGTTTTTTTATCCTAATCCACCTGCTTTATCCAAACTGTGTTCTTATTGTATTTCTTTGGATTGTTTCATACATGCACCCAGAACTGCATTTTTTTCTTTGTCAGCTGATTCACTGCAGTCTCTCCAATGATGGAGATGTTTTTGATATTATTATCCCAATAAATTTATTTTCATTGCCTCAAAATTGAACACAAATTAAGCAACTTTAATGCTTTCTAGTTCCTATTATTGCCCAAATTATTTTAGTATATATTATCATTTTATAACAGAAGATTTCTGCTCACATGATGGATAATGTGATCCCAAGCCATTTATGATTAAAAGAAGATGGAAGAGTTGCAATAGAAAAAAATTTGACAGAAGAAAAATGAAATACTCTACCAAGTCTGTGCTCCAAATTCTTCCTCTACTAACAATGCATTTAAATGATACATTTGTAATTATTATTCTTTCTTGACTGTCCATCAGAAATTTTCAGTCTTCAGCAGAGATATATTAATGATCAACTTTTGAGACATTGATTACATTTTTGGTTATTGTTATTCTAGTTTATATAGTTATATAAAATGTGTTTATTACATTACTCTCTCCTATACTAATACTGAGAATCGTGGGAGCAGAAAGCCAGAAGTTGCAATACATCTGTATGATACCACATTGGGGAAGGTTATCATGTATAATGCAGAAGTAAGAGTTTAATAAAACATAAAACCATAATTTTTATGTTTTCAGTTTATTAATGCATTTGATTTTGGGTCAGGAATATAGATAAAAATCTATTAAATGTAATAGGCATTTGAAGAGTTATAATCTTTCATAACTATTATTTATTGAGTACCATTATACCATCCATATTAAATAATCCTCTCTAATTACAGATGTTCTGTTTTCCTCAGCATGCTCTAAAAGCTTTGTATGTTTGTACACTCTGCACCATACTGTCCAAATTGGCTTTCTCTGGCAGAATCACTGTTGTACTCTGCAGCGAGTCATCTGCATACACAGCAGTACAGAAACCTAACATTCTTGGCTTGTAACCACTTTCTATTAAATGTTGGCATTCTATTTTCTTTTTGAGACCTCTTCAGTTCTAGCTTTTTTCCTCATTTTGAAAGCCTAGGCAACAATGGATTTAACAATCAAAACAAAACTCTCTATAAAGAAAACAGCACTGATCACTTACAAGAGAAATCAACAAGTCTTAGCATGAACAATGTCAATATTATTCTATTAATATATGCTGTGGCTCATTAATTGGCATATTATTAACAGTTATATTTTAAGCAGATTACAATGTGGCTATAATCCTGAAGAAACCATATCAGGGATGGCTAACCTTTTTCCTATTGCGTGCCAAAAGCGGGGGGCACGGGCGTGGCCACACCTATAATTCTATGTGCACAACACCCCCCCCACTTTTGCCTTGTGATGGACATATTTTTCACCCTCCCCAGGCTCCAGAGCTTTCTGGGAGCCTGGGAAGGGCGAAAACATCCTCCCCTGCTACCCCCAGAGGTTCCCCGGAGGATGAAAAACAGCCCTTCGAGCAAACCA